CAGTGCGTTATCCAATATTTCGTCGATGACAAAATTGAATGGGAATGGCGAAATAGAGCATCCTTGATGAACACCGCTGCTAGTTACGCACAACCGACCCAGCTCACCGTAGACCCTCGTGTTACCAGAAGTATGCGAGCAGAGTGGCTTCAGTACGTTCACCTAATTCTGCGGCATTACTTTGCGAAGGAGCAAATCCATAAGGGATTTGCGGAGTCGAAGGCTCCTTTTAGGTCAAAGAACCCTTATTCGCAGTGACTTGCAGGCTAGAGAAAGCCACATGGAGGCCAGCAGATGACGTGGAGACAAGGCATGAAGAAATGCACAGAGCGATTAGGTAGAGTAGGTATCTCTCGTCTTCCAGGTTGGGGTCCAAAAGACTCCGAAACCGCATGGTTGGAGACATTAAAGGTCATGGCTGCGAACCGACAGCAATGGTGATCATACTGTCACTTATTATCAGTCCAAATTTGTTGAACTGGTATGTATGCACAGTTGGGCCGTGCACTTTGTGTGCTGACCATAGTGGTTCGCTTTTTTTCGTTCCTAAGAATAGGTCCAATCCCTGTCCTCCTTACACATTATTATTATTATCGTCGATGATTAGGATGTGGCGTTTTGAGATTCTGTTACCTACATTCTCTCATTGGCTGTAAAGCTAGTACTTAACGGAATTATGCTTGCAAGGTCCCTGCGAGCACAATCACGAAAATAACACGGAACTTTACACGAAAATATCTGGTGAATACTGCGAGTTACCAACTGCCCATCTCCGACCAGCGTTAGTGCATAGTGTAAAATGACAGATGTTGAGAGGCCATCCCTTAAAAAATGCAGTGGTGATTCTGGATTAGTTTCTGTCTTCATTGGTTTACCATGAAATCAGTTTTTCTCACTCGTTGCTCAGTACGAAGGCCATACCATGCTATCCGGAACTGCAGCTGGACCCTCTATGGTAGGTCTACCACTGCTGGCTCGTGCCAATATACCGCATCTTTGTAGGATCATTAGATTCTTTTGATTCCATACTGGGTTATTGTCCTTTGTGTGTATGGTGATGGATTGCAGGGTCCTGGCATCCCAGCAAACTGTGTATCGTTGTTGGTTAATGTTCCCAGTCGTTGAGAGAGTTCAAAGTGCATCGCTTCCCAGGGACGCTATCGCATGAATTAGAAATGTGTCTGTAACCATGAAGAATTTTGAGAATATAGTCCGCTGTATCAATGCCTTTTTCTAGAGTACACCTCTAGTCCTTGCCCAACTAAGTGCTGCTTGCAAGGAAACAAGGTGGTGGTCATGAATTCTTTTAGTGGCTGGTCACATCCTCTCACTTTCTCATAGTATCAATGGAATCTTTGTTATTTTGTTGCATGACGCATCTCGAGCGATAAATCGACTCTTTACTGCTGCTGATCGTCCACAATCGCTTACACAGTGAGGCACTATCCACCTGTTATTGGTTAACTGCTTGCGTGACCGTCATCACATCAGTGACTTGTGTCGCTCCCGGTAACGTACTGCTCCGCTGGAAGTAGGCTTTTATCGATCTCTCTTTGATTTGATGATATGAATTTGTCGTGTAAATGAAGCATGATCTGTTTCGACCTGGTTCGGTTTCATCAACATGTCGAACCCATGGATTCAATTCGACCTCGAACCCAGGACTTCACAGGTGAAGCGCAAGCTTACTATCCACTCAAACATCAGACAGCTGACCAAACGTTCCTACATTTTGAATATACACGTTTTAGCACAACTCTGCATATACTGTTTTTCAAACATTGCAGTCTGATGGAAAGTAACAGCAAGAACACCGTTACTGTCGGTTCGCTGTCATGTACTTGAGTGTCTCCAACCAACCAGTTAAGAACTCTTTTGAACCCGAGCATGAAAGGCGGGAGACGCCTACTTTAGCCAATAATCTTGTGCATTTCTTCATGCCTCATCTCCACGTCATATGTTGATCTTCACGTGATTCACCGAAGCCGGGACCCCCTCTTGCAAATAAGGCTCGGTGCGGTAGGTGACCGTTAGGCATATCAAATGTGCCCTAACGAACAAAGTTTATTGGACTCAATGCTATGCGATAGCGAACTTTTCCTCGATATTTTCCCAAACACACGACAAATTACGTCACTCTATCCCACCTGAGCATTGATTGTCGAAAACCACCAAGCGATGAATGTCTTTTACTCAAGCTCTTGGTCTCAACCGAGAAGCAAAACTTACCGAATGGTGGCACAATTTATGCAACTTTTCAACTTCAGTGAAATGTCACATCTTTGCCACAGGTGTTTAAGTCATGTGTACTCCACTCCAGCTTTGGAGACGCGTGCGATTATCTCCTTCATTGTGCTATCGTCGTTCGTTACGCATTTGTCTAAGCACGAGAAACAATCAACTTGAGCCATTTCCTCGGTACTCAATCGAGACGGCTAGAGCAGAGCTGTATGCTACCGAGTGCGTCCCCAGGTAGCGGCTAGGAAACCGCTCGCCAACTCACGGTTAACTGCTGATAGGGTGGCTTTAGGCTTACTGAATAAACGATCACGGACGATCAACGGTAGAGTTTGTGGATGTGGTAGGCTTACCACCTAGAAAGGGTTCTGCGCACAACACCAAATGTATCCTTTGACAGCATTGTGATTTGGCGAATGTGACCCGCCGCTGAATGTGGTTATTATCCCCTTATCCAGTTTTGTCTACCCATCGAGACTCTCCNCATTTGGAACAACACTACCTTATAGTTTGCGCTTGGTTGCGCAAAGGCTAGAATGCATCCTCGAACAAGGCCTACTCTGGGCTGGGCGACTGAAGAGTACAACAGCCCACAGCAACACAAAATAATGATGAACTTTCTCTTACCAAAAATTCGCACTCACAGCTTTCTTCACTCATAGAGAACCATTCTACACCATGCCCATCTTTCGGTTTCCCAATTTTTCCTATGTCTTACATCCACCGGGGTCTTCAGATGATCGTACCAACAGCTGTGCCTCAGATGGAAATCCTGCCCCTATTATCGACTGGCGCCCAAGTTCCACCGAATCCTTCCATACCAGCTGAAGCTCTTCTTCGTCCTCAATACCCTTACAAACTAGCCACATATAACGCGCTTACTCTGATGCGAATAGGACAACGGACCTGTTTAGCTCG